CGAAGTTCGGTGTGGAAAGGCGGTATAAGGCATATCTAATGTAACTGTTATGATTGTTTTTAAATGCTAGTTATGGTTCTACAAAAAGTAAAATAATAATTATCCATTTGCTAAACTTAAAATACTATGTTTAATGTATGTCAAAAACAAGTAATTATTATTTTACTTAAATCAAATGTGTATATAAATACAATTGTTAAAACAACTAGAAATTACGTAATAATTGCTGTATTATCAAGTGCTTGTAAGGCTAGTGCAGATATTATATGACACTCAATGTCAAAATTTTGATCCATCCCTATACCCATAAAGTGAAATACAATAGCGCCTGTATAAAATTTGGTTGTACAAAATTATTTTTTTATTCAAAATAGTAAGTGGTAACTACACTATGTGACACAAAAATATTTTTTTTAAATCCGAATAAAAGTTTTATATTGTTCAAAATTAAAAGAAAAATTGATGTGTAACTAGTGGCATTGTCAGTATGTAACAATATTGTGTGGTAAAAATGTATCAAATTAAAAATAACCAAAACTCAAAGACAAGATATACACCATCACTCTACACTTTATAATACAAATACAAAGAAACACCTCTATCCAATAACATAATGTTATAAAAATAATTTCACAATTTTACAAAAAAAAAAAAAAATTCTAACTTTAATTTTTAACAGACGATACATGGAGCTGTGCTTTTATCAATGCAACTAACAAATAGAAAAGAGATATATAATATAAATAATATACACAATATAAAGTTTGGTGAAAATATACAACTCGTTTATGAATTAATAAACTAATATGTTGTGAAACCATTCGAACCCCAAGGATCAAGGGTTCGGCTGATGCCAGGACACGCACCTGACTCATATAATTCACGATCACATTTTGTCACAGAGGACGATAATACTATGAGTAAGGGTTCGGTGAATGCGCAATATTAAACTGGTAGGGTTCGGTATATCCAAAAAAGTTTGAGAACCACTGGGCAATAAAAAAGAATTGGAAGTAACGTGTAGAACACAAAAAAGATATATTTAACGACTGTTAAACTTTTAAGTGATTGTGTTTTATTTGTATGTGTTGTTGTTTTTTTATAGTGTTGTAAAAAAATATTAACTTTGATTTATGAATTATTTAAAAAAATAAATACATGTATTTTTTTACATTTTTTTTTTATTGATATGTTGCAGGCCTAAACAATTGTGTTTTGTAACATAAAAAAGATTATCGAAAATCGCTGTGTTGTCTCCCCTTAAACTTCATGTCCTAGATTCCTCAAGGTGTTGCTTAATTGCTCATGCATTGCTTAATTAATCATTTTAATTACTCTTGTTGGCAGCTAATTAAAATGCACCATTCCAAAGTTAATTGCTTTTATGAGGCAGATACACTACCAGCATCTCGTAAACTGGTGTGACACAAAGGTTAGTGAAAGACAATCAAGATGCGATCAGTGTACTTTGTGGTGATGCTGTTGTCGGTGTTTCTTGGTGAGTACTGTCATGTTAACTGTTAGTGTGTACCCCAGAGGCGTAGCGACCCTTCCAGAGACAAATTTTAAATTTGGCGCCCCCCTCGGGAGCAACATTTCAAACTTTCGAATAGAACCCACCCCCCCCCCCCCCCCCCCCCAAACTTTCGATTTGCATCCCCCACCCATATAATTTTTTAAAATTTATAATGCAAAACTGCAACTAAAATTATATTTTAATTTGTTTTTCCAACCTATTTTGGCGCCCCCTAAGGTCGGCGCTCGGGGACATATGTGCCCCCCCCCTTGCTACGCCTCTGGTGTACCCTCACATTACCTATGAGTTAGTGCCACCGTTTTACCTGTAAGTACCATCGTTGTACCTGTGTGCTAGTACGCTCGTTTTACTTAAGTGCTAGTTTTAACGTATGTTATTACGTTAGTTTTACGTATGAATACATTGTTACATTACTTAAACAGACACAGTTCTTTCAGTTAACTCTAGTACTTTATTCTTATATATCTGAGCTTAGACGACACGTCATGTCTCTGACTCTACCTTTCATTAACTGCTAACACGTATACATTAACTACACATCGCGGATGACACAGTGAACACTCAGGGGACGTAACCGTGATAAACACAATTCAAGGGACGTAACAATCACTAACATGACATAATTTAACATTCGTACCCTTGTTTTACCTGTGAGCTAGTACACTCGTTTTACCTGTGAGCTAGTACACTGGTTTTACCTGTGTGCTAGTACTCTAGTTGTACCTGTGAGCTAGTACACTCGTTTTACCTGTGAGCCAGTAAACTCGTTTTACCTGTGTGCTAGTACTCCAGTTGTACCTGTAAGCTAGTACCTTTGTTTTACCTGTGTGCTAATACCATCGTTTTAACTGTGTGCTAGTATGCTAGTTTTACCTGTGTTGTAGTACTCTAGTTTTAACCGTGTGCTAATACGCTAATGTTACCTATGGGATATTCCCGTAATGTTACCTGTGGGATAGTACCCTAGTGTTACTTATTGGATAATCCCCTAATATTACCTGTGGGATAGTCCTCTAATGTTACCTGTAGGATAGTCCCCTAGTGTTACCTATGGGATAGTCCCCTAGTGTTACCTGTGTGATAGTCCCCTAATGTTACCTGTAGGATAGTCCCCTAGTGTTACCTATGGGATAGTCCCCTAGTGTTACTTATGGGATAGCCCCCTAGTGTTACTTATGGGATAGCCCCCTAGTATTATCTGTGGGATAGTCCCCTAATATTACCTGTAGGATAGTCCCCTAGTGTTACCTGTAGGATAGTCCCCTAGTGTTACCTGTGGGATAGTCCCCTAGTGTTACTTATGTGATAGTCCCCTAGTATTATATGTAGGATAGTCCCCTAATATTACCTGTAGGATAGTCCCCTAGTGTTACCTGTGGGATAGTCCCCTAGTGTTACTTATGGGATAGTCCCCTAGTGTTATATGTAGGATAGTCCCCTAGTGTTACTTATGGGATAGTCCCCTAGTGTTACTTATGGGATAGTCCCCTAGTGTTATATGTAGGATAGTCCCCTAGTGTTACTTATGGGATAGTCCCCTAGTGTTACTTATGGGATAGCCCCCTAGTGTTATCTGTGGGATAGTCCCCTAGTATTATACGTAGGATAGTCCCCTAGTGTTACTTATGGGATAGTCCCCTAGTGTTACTTATGGGATAGCCCCCTAGTGTTATCTGTGGGATAGTCCCCTAGTATTATACGTAGGATAGTCCCCTAGTGTTACTTATGAGATAGTCCTCTAGTATTATCTGTGGGTTAGTCACCTAATTATACCTGTGGGATAGTAACCTAGTGTTACTTGTTACTAACCCCATATTACCTGTGAAGGAATACCGTCATGTTACTTATCACATGTAAACTAATATCCTCATATTATCTGTGTGTTGGTACCCCCTTTTCCTTTTTAATAGGAGCCCTCCTTTTACCTGTAAGTAAGTAACCTCGTCTCACCTGTTTACATGTTAAAGTCATGTTTCGCTGCCTAGAACTATAAAGTTTCCGGTACAGTGTGGTAGAATGGTAGAGCGTTTAATTGTAAGCCCGAAGGTCTCGATTTCGGATCTCAGTTCGGATTCGAGACTGAAGGACGTCACTGAGTCCACCCAGCTCTAATTGGTGCCTGACTCGCGTTACGGAAAAAATAGTCGAATGGGCTAACCACACTATTCCTTCATATGGCGAGGTCATTGAACACAATTTTTACACGTATCTTGTTGAGTTACAAAAAATAGAATATTTTAATTTATCATAATTAATTCACTAGTGAAGTGCTAATGCTAATTAATCATATTTTCAAAAGAATAAGAAACACAAATGTTTTAATACATATCGTAACGATGTGAAATAGCTTTATTTTTTTTTAATTCAGACTTGTCAAGCAAAAATAAAACCAAATAATAGGTATAAACACTAGGAAAAATATAAGTTATTGTTAAACCGTTTATAAATTAAATGCATGCGAATATATATTATGCTGGTTCACAGAAAGATGCGCAGTCGGAAAACTGCGCAAATAGAAAATTGGGCAAATGCAAACTAATTATACTAATACACTTTAATTTTGTCATATTTCGGGCAAACATCTTTTTACACAAGAGGTCATGCTTCGTTAATGTCAATAAATGCTCGATTGAAGAAAAAAAATCCGTTTGCGTACATTTTGGTGCGCAATTTTCCTTTGCATAGTTTTCCGTTTCGTAGTTTTCCGTTGCGCACCTATCCGGTCACCAGGAAACAATTCGCACTGGTATAAAACAAACCAATAGTTTGAGACAGGCGAACATATGATCCAGAGGTGTAGCGATGGGGGGGGGGGGGGGGTCAGGGGGTACATATGTCCCCGGGCGCAGACCTTAGGGGCGCCAAAATATGTTGTTAAAACAAATTAAAATGTCATGTTAGCTGCATTTTTGCAATAGAAATAGTTTGTGGGGGGGGGGATGCAAATCAAAAGTTTGAGAGGGGGGGGGATGCAAATTTAAAATTTGCTCCCGAGCTTGGCGCCAAATTAAAAGTTTGTCCCTGGGCGCCGGGAAGGGTCGCTACGCCTCTGATATGATCTTCTAACACATGAACTAAATGTGAAGGCACGCGAACTTAGTAGTTGATGGCATTCAAACCTCACCTAAACACACGAAGTATCACGTAAATACATTCAAACCTCATCTAAAAACACAAAATAATCACACACAACACACAAGATGATAACATACGGACCTTTCATGCAGATAAATCATACACGTGTATATTGGTATCTGTATAACATTTATTCATTATTTTTAATGAGACATTAAACAAGAAACAAGAAGTATTTTGAAATGTATTACGTTATATAAACAGATCTCGACAACTACCTAACTCATATATCACAATATAATAAATTGTAAACCCAGGGGCGTAGCGAGGGGGGGGGGGGCGGGGGGGTGCGGACCGCACCGGGTGACACCATTTATGGGAGTGACACCAAGGCAAAAAATAGCAAAATATATAGAGAAAAACTTGAGGGGGGGGGGTGCAAATCGAAAGTATGAGGGGTGGGGGTGCAAATCGAAAACTTGAAGGGGGGGGGGGGTGCAAATCGAAAACTTGAAAGTTTGTCCCCGGGAAGGGTCGCTACGCCTCTGGGGGGTGACACCATTAAGTGCCGCACCGGGTGACACCCGACCTCGCTACGCCACTGGGTAAACCACCTACATGGAACGGAGCGGCATCGCGAAAGAGAGCTAGACTTCTAACACGATAGTTCATATCTAAGGAACGTCTCTGAGTCTACCCAGCTCTGATGTGTACCTAACTCACTTTAGGGAAACAAAGGCGGCTTGGCATAGCGCTGACCACACTATTTCTTCATATGCCGAGGTCTATGAATCAGATGAACTCTACTTCATCTGCCCCATGTGTCTGAGTACATACGGAAATGATAATGAAACTACCTGCAACTCTATTAGTGCTATTTAATGTGTGCAATATGAAAACTCAATATTTAAAACAATATGGCTTAATTTTTTTTTGTCTTTCAGTTCTGCCAATCGAACAGACCTTCGCTTTTAAATTTTATAAGAGGGAGTGTAGAAAAGATGGTAATTCATTTGACTATTCTAAATATTTCTTAATGAGACACTATGGCCATCACGTGTGATGAAACGTGAAAGGTTTGAGTTAAGTTCCTGGGCTTAAGGGAGTAGGAATAGACTGAGTCCACTCAGCTCTAATGGGTACCTAATCTAAATGTGTAATGTAATTCGTATGACAAAAAGGCAGATGAACTCTATTGTTGTGTCTACAGTTAGGCTAATTAGTACACCAAACAAACAGATGAACTCTACTTCACCATGCAACATGTGTCTACACGTTAGGCTAATTAGTACACCAAACAGATGAACTCTACTTTCAACTGCTTATATTCAATACTATAATATGAAAGTGAGTGTTATAGGTGGTTCCTAAACGGCATTTATTTTAAAAAAATAAAACTATAATTTTATCGCTTACATTACTTTAAAAAAAAAAATTAAAATTAGTTTGAGTATGATTACATAGACTTTTCAAGCCTATTCTCAGTCTTTTGATATTTAAAAAAAAATGTTATCGCTTACATTACTTTTTAAATATTTTTTTATTTAGTATGATTACATAGACTTTTCAAGTCTCTTGGTATTTAAAAAAAATAAAACTATAATTTTATCGCATTCCATATTTTAAAAAATATTTTTTTAAACATTTAGTATGATTACATCGACTTTTCAAGCCCATTCTCAGACTATTGGTATTTAAAAAATAATTTTTATCGCTTAGATGTCATCCATAAAAGACGTCACGCTTTTTTGACGATTGTTACCTCCCCCCCCTCCCCTCCGTCACACGTCGTCACAAAAAGCCAGGCCCCCACCTAAAAATAACGTCACACCTCAAACTACAACCCCCCCCCCCCCCTCAAAGTTGCAGTTGAATTTTTTTTTCAACATCGATATTTTTCTAAAATCTTGTCTGAACTCTGTCAAATTAGAGTATTTTAATAAACTCCTATTAAAATTTATTAAAACAAATTTCTAAAACGTGAAATAACGTCTTAAATTCGTTTTCTAACATTTCTTTTTTACAATGCAAAAGTGTGACGTCGCACCATCTGACCCCCCCACCCCCCCTCCCCCCTCATCACACACCGTCACAAAATTACCGAACCCCCTCCCCCCTACGAGTGTGACGTCATTTATGGACGACCCCTTACATTACTTCTTCAATATTTTTTAAAAAAATTTAGAATGATAACATAGACTTTTCCAGCCTATTTTCAATCTCTTGGTATTTTAAAAAATAAAACTTTTATCACTTACATTACTTTTTAAATATTTTTAAAAATTTAGCATGATAACTTAGGGGTCATCCATAAATGACGTCACGCTTTTTTGAAGATTTTTACCCCATCCCCCCTCCCCTCCGTCACACGACGTCACAAAAAGCCAGACCCCCCCTTAAAATGACGTCACACCTCAACCTACAACCCCCCTCAAAATTGCAGTTGAATTTTTTTTAAACATCGATATGTTTCTAAAATCTTGTCTAAACTATTACAATTTATTATAACAGTTATCTAAAACGCGAAATAACGTCTAAAATTCGTTTTCTAACATTGATGTATTATAATGCAAAAGTGTGACGTCGCACCATCTGAACCTCTCACCCCCCACCCCCACCCCCCTCATCACACACCGTCACAAAATTACCGAACCCCCCTCCTCCCTACGAGTGTGACGTCATTTATGGACGACCCCTTACATTACTTCTTAAATATTTAAAAAAAAATAGAATGATAACATAGACTTTTCCAGCCTATTTTCAATCTCTTGGTATTTTAAAAAATAAAACTTTTATCGCTTACATTACTTTTTAAATATTTTTTAAAAATTTAGTATGATTACATAGACTTTTCCAGCCTATTCTCAATCTCTTTTTATTTAAAAACATAAAACTTTTATCGCTTGCATTACTTTTTAAATATTTAAAAAAAAATTATTATGATTACATATACTTTTCCAGCCTGTTCTTAATCTCTTGGTATTTAAAAAAAAATGTTATCGCTTACATTACTTTTTAAATATTTTAAAATTTAGTATGATAACATAGACTTTTCCAGCCTATTCTCAATCTCTTTTTATTTAAAAACATAAAACTTTTATCGCTTGCATTACTTTTAAAATATTTTTAAAAAAATTATTATGATTACATATACTTTCCCAGCCTGTTCTTAATCTTTTGGTATTTAAAAAAAAATGTTATCGCTTACATTACTTTTTAAATATTTTAAAATTTAGTATGATAACATAGACTTTTCCAGCCTATTCTCAGTCCCTTGGTACGCTTATCTCTCGGCAGCACGCTGTGTGAGAACTAAAGATTGCCGCGGCTACATCAACAACACTTACAGGGTAATATGTCTCAAGGGATGCTGTAGCTATTATTATTGACCGGGCGCCATCCAAAACTGACTTTGACCTTCACGCAGATGGATTTGGATTTTTTTAAAGCATGTGTTTGCTTTATAATCTATTCAAGTTTTTAAAAATAAATTCTAATTAAAATTGAAAAAGGAAACTGTTTTTGTTTTTGAAGTTCATGTTAGTGTACATTTTAAAAATAAATCCTAATTAAAATTGAAAAAGAAAACTTTTTTTGTTTTTGAAGTTCATGTTTGTTTACATCAGGTTTATGCATGGCTGATAAATTTGTTTGAATGTTAGTTTAGTAACATGCCTGTTTGGCTGATAAATTCATTTGAATGTTAGTTTAGTAACATATGCCTGTTTGGCTGATAAATTTGTTCCAATGTTGGTCCAGTGAATGCTGCCTGCTGTGCTGATAAATTTGTTTGAATGCTAGTTTAGTAACATATGCCTGTTTGGCTGATAAATTCATCTGAATGTTAGTTTAAAAACATATGCCTGTTTGGCTGATAAATTTGTTCCAATGTTGGTCCAGTGAATGCTGCCTTCTGGGCTGATACATTTGTTTGAATGCTAGTTTAGTAACATATGCCTGTTTGGCTGATAAATTTATTCAAATGTTGGTCTGATCAATTTGTTCGTGTTGGTTTAGAAAAATCTGGCAACAAAAACATGAGGCCAAGCAAGCCACATAAACTTATGGTCAAAATTTGCAAAATTAATTTGAGGGTCATACTAGCAAATGCGCCACAGTAAAAATTACACCGCACTTTAAAAATGTATGTATCTTTAATTGGGTTAATTAAATACCAATATTAATTAACTTTTAATTGAAAACTGTTTATCTTCTTTAACTTTAATAACATAGGCCACTAACAGTATTCTCTTCAGATTGATAGAAAACAAGTTCTTATGATAAACAAACAAACTGGGCTTCATTTAATAACGTGTCAGGCTAAATAAACTTCCTCGTCTTCATAGTTGATTAAGCAAAAATAAAAATAAAAATAAATACATAAATAAAAACTTTCTAATAACAAGCTTGTAAATGCACCGAAAATAAAGATAAATAAAATAATTTTTCTTCCTTTCATTGAACCTTTGGTCGTTCTTTTATGAAAGCTAGCAAATCATTTTTTTTTTCAATGCATTTAAAGCTTGTTATTAGACAGTTTTTTTTTTATATTTGTTTTATTTTCTACTTTAATAGTGATTCATTAGGCCACCACTAAATATATTTGCTTTAGAACACCATCTGTAGCTCGCAATCTCTGTAAGCCGATTATCTGCCCTTTTGCGACCCCTTTGTCCGATTTGTGGCGCGAAAGCAACTTCAGTTTACAGACGACAACAATCTCACCAAGCGATGTCTACTTCTTAATCTTGTTACCTCCCCTTATTTTCAAATTGTTTAAAACTATTTTTTGCCCCTAACAGTAGTTTACTAATTCACTCGGCTCTAAGATTGTAAACATTTTGCGAGGATGACATTATAAAGAAGATCTATATATATAATTATCTTCATGGGGACCATGCGAGACACCACCACGTAAACGCACGCTGTTACTCCCCCGCTCTCTAGGCATATAGCTACCACCCCTACCATTCTGGTGAGCTAAGGTTCACTCCGAATGTCAACAATCGTAGAGCCGGTCGAATTAGTAGTGGGTATTAGGGGCAGATAATTTAGCTTTTAAAAGATTTGAAACTAAGGAGAGGTAAGAAGTTCTGCTTGATCTTTTCATTGTCGTCCGTAAACTGTCGTCATGTGCCGCTCCTTTCACGATGATGGTTCACTCACGCCGGCACTCTGATCAAGCGATTACTGGCTAGTATTTGATCTTGTTATCTCCCATTTTAATTTGAATATACGAATTTTTTGTTTTTAATATTCTTAACTTGTCGTTGAAGAAACTACCCAGTTATGAATGTTAGATACATTTAAACGTTACTATTTTTTTTTGGTTTGTTTTAATAAAGCTTTATTCAACTTTATAAAACTTTACATTCGACTTCTACATTACACAAGAGACTAAAATTTTAATAATATTTAACAACCAATGGCTAAAAAGATCATTACAATCAAGCTTCCTAGCTTCCAGCTTGGTATTGTATGGCTACACAACTTTTGTCATATGCAGTGACTACAGAAACAGCTCAACTCTACTCCATCTACAATAATGACCAACAGTCAGATATGGTAATTGTAAACAATGCAGTCGGCTGTTGTAAGGGGTGAGGCATAACCGTTATGTAAATAGCTGAACTTGCTTAATTAAGTTTGTACTTTATTTGACAACTAATACACATCAGTTGGCACATGGTGGTAGGTATACATTTTACTACGCTGAAGTATTTTAGTTCTGAAGTGAACTATCAAGATTGTATGTATGAAACTAAAATTGATACAGTGTATTTACTGACAAAGAATAGTTTGAAATATCTGTTGTGGTATTCCACCCAAGAGCCATCTTTTAATAACTTGTTTTAGCTGGTTGTTCTAAAGATGACACACTTGTTATATACTGGCAGTGGGGTCGGCGTGGTCGAGTCGGTAAGGCTCATGGTTGCTAAACCGAAAAGTCTCGAGTTCGAACCCTCCGGCAGATGAGGCTCGTTAGCTGGGGACAGCCACTCTTCTAGGAGACAACTCCAAAATCAAACAACTGCTGCCTTGTAGTGTGTTCTTGGTTGGACAAAGGCCATGGAAGCAAATCCAAATAGAAAAGCAGGCTGAAAGCGGAGTCAAAGGTGTCAATGGCGAATAACCAGTTGACACGTAAAGCTTAATTGTGATGGAAGTATGGTCGAGTCGGCAAAGCTCATGGTTGATAAATTCGAAAAAAAAAAAAAGTTTCGAGTTCAACTCGAAGATACTTGGGGGAGCTACCATCTCCTACCGAGCGCGTCCCCAGGTGGCGGATAGGGGACAGGCCCTTAGATATGAGGGTTAGCTGTGAATACCAAATAAACAGCCGTGGACCAACTGGTTTGTGGTCATGGAGGATGAGGTGGGATATCCATTGGTTAGGATATCTAATAAAAAACATCTCATAAATCCAAGGAAATGACTTCAACGGCGAGCATGGGGCGCTATAACTCCAAACCCGGGCAGATGGGGCTCGTTAGCTGGGGACAGCAACCCATCTAGGAGAGACAACTCCAAAATCAAACAGCTACTGCCTTGTAGTTTGTTCTTGGGTGATCAAAGGCTATGGAAGCAAATCCAGAAAGAAAAGCAGGCTGAAGTCGGAGTCAACGGGCCATCTAGTATGGCGCATAACATGCTGGCACGCACTGCTTAATTTTATGATGGAGGAAAGAAGTAGGACTAACAGAAGTGGCGTCCTGCCTGTGGAATCCCGCCGCGCAGGTAGGGGGCCGGGCTCTCCGCCTCGAAGGAGCCCACAAAAGCGAGCTGGTGGTTCCTCTATTCTTGCCTGGCCAGCCAGGGGCAAGGATCAGAAGGTAAATTCTACTGGCCAAAATAGTGAGGAAAACAACAAATTACTTGTTATCCTGCAGTGGAATGCAGAGGGAGTTCATAAAAAAAAAGGAAGCCTTAAAAATATTCCTACATGAAAATAAAGTAGACGTTGCTTGTATTCAAGAAACTCACCTCAACAACAATCTTCGCTTCTCTATTAGAGGATACACCTGCATAAGGCAGGACAGGGAAAACAGACCTAAAGGAGGTATCCTCATTCTCATAAAAAATGACATTCCAACAACAGATATCGTTATACCAAACTCAACAGCATCTGAGATAATGGGCACCAAACTCATACTTGCAGAAGGTAACCTAAATATCTTCAATTGCTACTGTCCTCCTGATAAGGACCTGGAACTGGACCGCATCTCCCTGCCAAACAGCGAAGAGTGCCTGGTTGTGGGAGACATGAACAGCCACTCCCAGAGCTGGGGTTACCCTGACCTCAATGCTAAAGGAGAGGAAATTGAAGAATGGCAAGCAGAAAATAGGCTCATCCTTCTAAATAAACCTGATGACAAACCAACTTTTTACTCAAGGTCTTGGTTAACCACGTCTACCCCCGACCTAGCTTTTGCTACTAATGGCATATCCAAAAAATGCAAAAGAGAAGTTGCAGATCAACTAGCCACTAGCGACCACCGACCAATCCTGATCCAGATAGAAACATCAAACAGGCCAATTGAAGCCTACCCCCGCCCTAGATGGAACTACAAAAAAGCTAATTGGGAGCTCTTCTCTTCCCTCACAGACTCCTACACAAGACAAATCAACTGTAAAACCAAACAGGTGAACAAGTCATACACAGCCTTCTCAAAAGCAGTTCTGTTAGCAGCCAAAAAATCTATTCCAAGGGGAGCAAGGAAAAATTATATCCCAAACTGGACTCCAGACCTCCAGATACTCCATGACGAGACAATTGATGCTAGAAACATTGTTGAAGAAAATCCCACTGTAGAAAATAACATAAAATTAAAATCAGCAAACGCAGTTTTTAGAAAAAAGTATCTAACTGCATTGAGGAAAAGCTGGCAAGAAAAAACAGAACACCTCAATGTAGATAGAGATGGTCATAAACTATGGAGTATTGCAAAAAGGCTAAACCAAGAAGAAAACAGAGCTACTCCCATAGTCATCGACATTGAAAACACGATCAAAACAGAAAAGGATGCAGCAAAAGAATTTATAACCCACTTCAGCAAAGTTGGACAAATAAATATCAGCCACCAAAGAGTAGAAGAGGTTAAAAATCAAACTGAAGTTAAAGAAAAACTACAGAAAGTCTCTCCCCCCTCCTCCACTGGAATGGTAGCTCGAATTAGCAAGACGGAGCTCGGAGAAGCAATGAAGCTCCTCAAACTTAAGCAAGCTCCAGGCCCTGACAAAATCTCAAATGATATGCTCATGCACCTGGGCCCCAATGCTAAGAAAAAACTGCTCCAAATATTTAATGCAAGCTGGAAATCTGGGAAAATCCCAAATATTTGGAAAAAAGCAATCATGATACCTGTTCTAAAAATAGGAAAACCCAGGAACAAAGTCGATAGCTATCGCCCAATAAGTTTAACAAGCTGCGTTTGTAAACTGATGGAAAGAGTAGTAAACAACAGACTGACCTGGTTTCTAGAATCGAACAATCTACTAGCAGACGAACAGGCAGGCTTCAGGAAGTGCAGATCTACTGAAGACCAAATCACCTTCATTTCTCAGGAAATAGAAGATGGCTTTCAAGAAAAAAAACCAACCTCAATAGTGTGGGTCG